GGTCTCGAACCCGCGGGCTCAGGCAATTCACTCACCTCAGCCTCCCAAGGCGCGGGATTACAGGCTGAGCCACCGAGCCCGGCTTCGTTTCTTTGCAAACAGAAATGTATGAACTGACATTCACGGTTCTATCCCTAAAATTCTCAAATTAAAATAAAGTTATCAAATACATAGCCAGATCAGATATTTAGTCATGTTTGAAAATGAATACAAAATAATTATGGCCATATAAATTGTAGGATATTATCTATTTAATAGTATGTGATGAGTACAAATTACTCAATGATATGCAAGTTAACTGTTAATACATAGTTAATACATAGAAAAGCAAAACCTTTTATATACTAGATTGAAACTTTGTAGAAGTAGTTTTGAACTTATATTAAACATTGCTAAACTAGATAGTAAATCCTGTCAGTGTAGAAATAATTTTTTTTTTTTTTGTAATTGTCAAAGATGAAAATAGTATAATCTTTAATTCATGGATACATAGTTGGCTGGAAAAATGCCAGTTTGACTTCGAAGCTTTCCTTCCCACCAATCAAAACATGAATCTGTTTTTGATATAACTGTGATTTTGTCTCCAGCTTGAAAACTCAAATCCCCTGGCTGTTGTCCTTCAAATGAATATAGTGCTGTCACTTCTATCAGTTGATCCAAATTGCCTAAAACAAGAAAAACATATTTACTCATGTTTTTTAGGGGAAAACCCGGAGGCATGTGTAGGCAAGATAAAATGAACCACTTAGGGCTTGGTATGCCAATTCCTTGAAAGTTGGCAGAATTCATGCCATACAATCTGTGTAATCATTAAATTCACCTTTTCTCCATTGAAGAAAGCAAACGTTTGCCAATACCATTTGCCAAATTCATGTACATCTGAACTATACATTATTATATATCTGTGTATTTAGTAAACATTTATGGTTTTAATTGTTTCAATTATAAGATAATATTTACATTTTTTCCATTTTAATAGAGCAGTCATTGCTATGGTCTGAATGTCTGTGTCCCCACAAAATTCTTATGTTGAAATCCCTCACCCTGAAGGTAACAGTACTAGAAGCTGGGGCCTCTGGGGGTGATTAGTTCATGAGGGCCCCACCATCATGAATGGGATCAGTGTCCTTTAGAAAAAGCCTGAGGGAACTTCCTCATCCTTTCTGCTATGTGATGCCACAGTAATATGGTGTCATTCATGAAGGAGAAATTGAGCTCTCACCAGACCCTGAATCTCCCAAGACACCTTGATCTTGGGCTTCTAGTCTCCAAAAGTGTGAGAAATAAATTTCTATCATTTACAAGCCACACTGTCTATGTTATTGTTATAGAATGGACTAAAGCAGTTGTATTTGCTTCTATAAATTATAGATAGTAGAAAAAAGCTAACATTTATGCTCATGATCTTATCATAAGAGATTCCACTTAAAAAATATGCTTTTTGTTCATTGGTTTTGAGGGTTTCAGCTCAGATATATTTTGCTGTTTCATCACAGACATTTTTTCTTCTTGGGCTTTATATCTCTGTGCTTATTTGATCCAGTCTCTCAATACCAGAGATAAAATTGAAATTAGCACAAGGAAAAGCTTATCTACATATGTTTAACAAGTATTTCAATATGCATATAATTAAATGTACTATATTAGAAAAAAATACTGTGAGAATGGAGTAGTTAACACAAATGAAAGAAATTAAATATTACACCATGTAGCATCAAAAAACATAAAGAAAGGAATGGTTTCTGTATACATAGTTATATGAAGTCTAATATGACTATGCTTCATATAATTTTGTGCATAAATTAGGCAATTTGATGTTGTTAAGTGCATCTAAATATAGATATATAGAAAATATCAGTAACCAAACTATAGAAACAGTTCCTTTTTGAACTTACAATAATAATAAATCTGAACTTGGCCTATCAGCAATAAAAAGTCATCACTTTAATTAAACTACATTGACCAAAACACTGAATCTGCAGCTCACACAAGATGGTGCTACAGTTCTTTCTATAGAACATGTCCCATCTAGCTTTTTTAGTTCTCCTAAAGAAATAATCCTAATAATAATACATATAACTACATTGGCGATATTATTAGTATAACTAGTTTTATCTATAATACAAATAATTTCTGCATAATTTTATATTTTATATATACTTACTTTTAGTCTATCAACTTAAGGAATAAGGTTAAAAATGTCACAAAAGATGAAATTATGATATAGTCTGAAAATAATAGAAGTCAAACAACTGCTAATGCGTATTAATAAACAGTCATTACTACACCCTATGAAAAGTACTCACATAATGCTTCCTTGATGCCAGAAAACATGTAAGCTAATGCTGAATAAATCATTCCTGATAATTTTCTTGTTAAGAATTATATGTAGGCCATCCACACATAAAGTGTAATCTTAATTAACCACCCAGACCAACGGAAGCCCTCCCAGAGTTCCATCCTTCTCCTCCCTGTCCCATCATCCTCCCATGTTGGATGATAGAAAGAAGTCAAAGAAAACAGTGCTTGTAGGGGACCCCCTTGGGTCCCCTCCTACTGTGGGAGCTTTTCTGTCCTCTCAATAAATCCTGCTTTCTTTTTTTTTTTTTTCCGAGTTGGAGTCTCACTCTGTCACCCAGACTGGAGTGCAGTAGCCGCTCCCGGCCACTGCAGCCTCAATCTGCTGGGCTCCGGCGATCCTTCCAAGTAGCTGGAACTACAGGCGCACGCTACCATGCCCGGCTAATTTTTGATTTACTGTAGAGATGAGGTCTCGCCAAGTTGCCCGGCAGGTCTCGAACCCGTGGGCTCAGGCAATTCATTCACCTCACCTTCCCAAAGGCGCGGGATTACAGACTGAGCCACCGAGCCCGGCTAATCCTGCTTCGAAAAAAAAAAAGAAAGAAAGAAAAGAGTGCTTGTGAACACCAGGGAATGTTCCGGAAGCCTAAGCCATCTTAGCTGAATACACTCACGTACTTGTAGTACTGTTCACACAATCAAAATTAAAAAACAGCCTTACTCAGTATTGACATTATACCACATGAATGTCAAATTGTGTCCAACAGACTAAATTTAAACTTATCCGGACGTTTTACTTTTATTAGGCAAATTTTCAAGGAGGAGTACATGTTCCTGGTCAGTGGGTTATCCAGTAATAACATCTGATGCTGATAGTCCTGGGTTACCCTGATAACTGAATTGGTTCTTACCATTTTAGAAATATATTTTATGATGAATAATTTGATGAAGAAATGTATTACGAACTAAAAAAGAGAAAGGGAGGACACAGACTTGGTTCAATCCTTCTCCTCCCCTCCCATTCAGGTATTGTCTAACTAACTCTGAACTGTAGATTCCAAATGAACTGAGGATGGGGATGGGGCACATTAGCTGGCTTTGAAGCACAGCAGAGAGCAAGGCTAGACCAGCCTGGGTGAGGCTCCTGGAGCACACATCAGTCAATGCCTGTTAGTTTTTTCTTCGAAAAGCTCCAAATGACTTGAAGGTCATTTCTAATGGATATTAGAGATAAGTTTCACAAGGAGGAGGTTAATGTCCACAAAATAGTATAAAGCACAAGAAAATGAGCCAAGGAGCAATGTCCTTCCGTGAAGACCTCCCCGGCTACAGGAAAGCAAACCCCGCTGGGTTACTATAGCACCATTCACAGATGCATTTCCTTCTGACCAAAGTTTAATTCAAGCAGGGGCTATTTTTCTTTCCCAAATTAGGAAGCAGGGTGAGACTACAATCAGCATTGGTGACTGGCAGATGCCCTGAGGCCCATAATTAGCAAGACTGGGTCTCTGTGTTATCTGTTTTACTTCCAGACCACTTTCTTACAGAGCTTGAATAAGGTAGTTCACAAGCAGCTAACACATCCAGCCCAGACATGTTTCAGGAGAAAAGTCTCAGCCTTGGGAAGGTCACAACCAAGAGAACACAGTCTTGTCTTGGCACACACCTTGCTGTTGTCAGTTACACTGAGGCAATGGGTTGGAACTTGCCCCGATTCTGGTGCCCCCATTCAGGCCACATGCTAGGGGGGGTCTGAGGGCCAAGTCTCCTATAGGAGTATGTGTGTGTCACTGGTGAGTGAGTTGAATGAGGCCACCAGGTGAGGCCACCAGGCAAGGCCAGTTCACACAGGGTCTCGGCAGGAGCAGTTCTAGAGAAATTTCTAGAGAAATTTGTGGTTGTCATAACTAGGGGATCACTGCTATTGGTGCTGAGTGGGCATACACCAGGGATGCTGCCAAGCACCCTATGAAGCACAAGACAGACCCCACAACAAATATTATCCAGTCTAATCAGTCCACACTGCTCAGACTGAGAAACCCTGTCCTGGACAGTTTCGGGATGGATAAAAGAGGACAAATGTTGATACAAGAAGGTTCAGAAATACTCCCTACAGAGTCCCTAGGGGGAAGTTTTGTGAATTGGACTTTAACTCTGAGAGGCCAAGTAACATGCAGTTGGACCTTCCAAAGGGCAAAAACAAAGCATGGTGGGAGAAAAACCACACTGGTTGGGTAATTTTCATGCCTGACAGTCCTTTGTGGGGTTGGGGTAGACTCAGGAGCTAGCACGGGGGAGGACTGAATGTCTTGCTTCACTGGGTTTTCAATTTTAGACCCAGGCTTGGGTTTAACTGTGACTTTCTCTGCAAGGACTTTCAGGAGAACATGAGGATATTCTTGATTAGAATTTAATTGCTTTCACAACTGCTTTTTAAAAAATACAGTAATGTAAAGTAAGTTTTACTTAAAAAGTAGAATTTAAGTCTTCTCTTTCATTTTTTCCCCCAAAAATCTCTTTGGAAAAACAGGCTAAAATAATATTATCTTAGTACCTACTGTTGGTACAATTTAACTTTTCCTATCCTAAAATATAAACACAAAACCAACCAACCAACCAAACATGTGCAAGTGACATCACCTTTGGATCACATAACTGGTGGATGGATATATGGGAATTCAAACTGAAGTCTCTGTCTTTCGAGTCCACTTGGAGTTTAGTTTCTTGCCATAAGACATTTTCACTTGCCATTTATAAAATATTTCTTTTTAAAAATTTTTATATTTTTTTCTTTTAACGATGTGGGGTCAGCTGGGCTCGGTGGCTCAGCCTGTAATCCTGTGCCTTTGGGAGGCTGAGATGAGTAGATTGCCTGAGCCCGCGGGTTCGAGACCCGCCTGGGCAACTTGGTGAGACCGCATCTCTACAATAAATAAAAAAATCAGCCGGGCGTGGTAGCGCGTGCCTGTAGTTCCAGCTACTTGGAAGGCTGAGGCGGAAGGATCGCTGGAGCCCAGCAGGTCGAGGCTGCGGTGGCCAGGAGCGGCCACTGCACTCCAGTCTGGATGACAGAGTGAAACTCCAAAAAAAGATGTGGGGTACAGTACAGGGTTAGGTATACAAGTGTTCATCTTACAGATAAAGTTTGGCCTCCCTTTGTCCCCACTTTGCCTGGTTTGAGATTAGGTACCCTTATTGATGTTATGTGGCCCTCTCCCCCCGCAGGCAGTTTCCAGCTACTGCCAATTCCTTTCTTATAGTATTATGGTAAATGTTCAGGGACTACTTATGAGTGAGGACAGGTGGTACTCAGTTCTTGTTTCTGTGATAAATCACTGAGTATTATGGACTCTTAATCCATCCAAGTTGCTGCAAAGTTTATAATTTTGTTCTTTATAGTTTATAGCTGCATAATATTCCATTGTGCATATGTACCACATTTTTAAAAATCCAGTCCCTTTTCGATGGACAGTATGGTTGGTTCCATGTTTTTGTAAACAGTGCTGCAATTAGCATGCGTGTGCAGGTGTCTTTTTAATAAAAGTTTTTATCACCCCTAGTTATCTTAAATTAAAGGGAAGTAAGAGAACAAAAGTACAGCATTTTTTAAAACAAAGTACTTCTCAAAATCACATAGATATGCTTCAAATTGAAGAAGAGGGGCTGAGCAGTTTCCCAGAGATTTTCACAACCAATCAGTTCTCAGTGCTGCATTTGCGAGGCATTCTTTAGGGGATCTGTAGCCTCTGTTGTACTATTGTACTTTCTTCAGCTCTGTCTCTCTATAGGGCATCCCCTCCCAAGTAAGTGCAGGAACTCTTTGACAACTAGACACCCAACTCTACGTCTAATCCTACGGTCTTCAAAGGTAAAAAGCTGTGTAATATAAAATCTAGAAGCATATGCTGCTTTGGTGTAAACATTCATAACTTAACCACGTTTGCTCTCAAAGGACTTGCACTCATAGGACAAATTTTTCAACACGGCCTTTAACATGGTCATGAACCACAAAGGGTGAAGCTCCTTCCATAAAATCTCTCAGAGATTTCTCTGCATACTTAAGAATACAGCACGGCATCTTCCCTTGGTGAACGCCAGGCCATCACCCCTGCTCTCAACACAGACTCTAGGGCAGAAGCTCAGCTCCCTCAGGAGAATCCACAGGGAGAAGACCCCAGAGTGGGCTCCCAAGAGTAGATGAAACATGGACAAGCCAGAGACCCTAAATCCATCAGGACAAGGGTGACTTCTCCTCAGGGGATGCTGCTTAAGAGACATTTTCAACACAATTTATCTGCATGATATAAATTTTAAAAATATATTTATAATTTTTTTATATTTTATTTACTTGAAATGGCTAATTTCCAATACTTTATTAATCCAGTGGTGTATGGTTTCGTAACTCCAGTGAAAAAATAAACAGGCTACTTTATGATTGTTTAACTTTGCTCTCAATTTGTGTCCCACTCACATTTATAAATAATCGCTTAACTCCTGGAAAATTTTTGAAGAAAATTTAAGTAAGAGGTTGAAGAACTATTTTTTACTGTAGTAAATCTTAAGTTTTGTAAAGTAGTTCCCATAAGAGCAAAACATTTGAACATAAAAAATAAAATTAAAAAAATCCTTAAAAATAAAAAATTTATGGGGCTAAAAACCAGAGAAAATGCAATAAGGAATAAACTGTAATTCAGAATTAACAAACTTTGGCATTCCATTCATGTTATAAATTCAGAAGCTTCTGGAAAACTAGTTTTTAGGAGATCATGGCGGCAGGGTCCTTGATCTTTCTATCACCCTAGTTATCTTAAAGGGAAGTAAGTGAACAAAAGCATAGCATTTTTTAAGTCAAGTGCTCTTAAACTAATGTGAATGTACATTATATCAAAGAAGAGGGGCTGAACAGATTTCCAGAGATTCTCATGACCAATCAGATTAGTTAGAACGTTTATATTATAAGATGAATATGAATCATTTTTGATATATAGTTTTTACTTACCAACTCTCTCATGATAGCTGGAAAGTTCAGGATAGAGCTTATATTCATTCCTGTTACCTACAAAAAAAAGCAGGGGGGGGAGCGTTTAGAAAACATATTTGTATATGTTATAGCTAAGCATTCCTGTTACCTACAAAAAAAAGCAGGGGGGGGAGCGTTTAGAAAACATATTTGTATATGTTATAGCTAAGCAAATATTTTAAGTCACTATAACTAATGGGATTATCATTATTTATTCATGTGTTAATTCAAGCGGTATGCCTGAATAAACCTAGATGATACACAACATATAAGGCAGATGATACATATCTGCTATTTGTATGACACAGAAGCACATCAATTATAAATCATGGCCTTTTAAATACACACGTATAGAAAGCCCAAATACATTCTTCTCCAGAAGCACTTGTAAAATATCTGAATAAAAAAAGCTTGTAGCCCAAAGCTAGTGATTTTCAAACATTTTTGCTTGCTTAAGCCCTAAAATAAATTGTAAACAGCATGTATTAATGGTATTGCATAACTTTTAATTGACACCTAAAATTGTCCAGTAAATAGTTGTAAAGGGTGTACTTTTTGACACTGTTCACATATCAATTATCTAAGTTCAACAATCATATTTTTCCTTTTTGGATAAAATAACCTGAACACCACAGTGATCTGAAGCCCACTACCATCCCTTAAAGAAGACCAACAAACTGTCTTAAGTCAGAAGTTATATAGTATTTATTATTAGCCTTGAAATCATACTTCCATTCCATTTGTCCCAAACATGTTACAGTAATGTATATTACACTTTATGCAACATTCCACAATAAAAATTTGAACATAAATTTATTTTTAAAATTGTAGTTTAAATAAGCACAAGGCTCTGCTAAATATCTCTTATAGAGTAAGTTATCATTACAGCCATTATTAGTAGACAATTGATCAAAATATTAGAAATATTGTGAATTTGTTAGCTTACTAAGCATACAAGTAAAATTTTATTTGAAATGTATCTCAATAGAATGACAAGACTTTTTAAAATTAGTTCATGTACACAGGATGATTATTTCTTATAGCTGAAATGGTACAGGTTCAACATCACATCTATTCTAATATTCTTTTTTATAGATATAGGTGATAAGAAAGCTGGCTTTTATAAAAAAAATCAGGGAAGGCTAAAACAAGGTATTTTATAGCAATGTAACTGAATAATTTTATAGCTCTTCTGAGATAGACGCCAAAAAAGTTACATAGTTATCTATCACTAGAACAATATAATAAAATAATATTTATAAGATAAAAAAATACCATTGCCATGGTTTGAATTTACATGTCCCCTCCAAAATGTATGTTGAAATTTGATTGCCATTGTAACAGTGTTGATAGGTGGGATCTTTAAGAGGTGAGTAGGTCATGAGGACTTCACCCACAAAAATGAATTAATACTGTTATCGTGAGAGTGGGTACCTAATAAGATAATCCGCTTGGCTACCTATGAGATACAATGTTCACTATCTGAGGAATGGGCCACCTGAGACCCAATCCTCATTATTACATAATATGTTAATGTAGCAAACATGCATGTGCACCTCTTGAATCTAAAATAATAAATAAACAAATGAGTTGGCCCTATTTCCCCACTCAGTCTCGCACATGTATACTTCCTAACCACACGATGCCTTCTGCCATGTATGATTCAGCACGAAGGCTATCACCAGATGTGGCCCTTCAATCTTGGACTTCCCAGCTCCTAGAACTGTGAACCAATTAACTGCCTAGTCTGTGGTATTCTTTTATGGTAGCAGAAACAGACTGAGATAATTGCTATTATTGTGAAAACTTTTGTTTTTTGTTTTGTTTTGTTTTTTGTTTTGTTTTGTTTTTTTTGAGTTGGAGTCTCACTCTGTCACTCAGACTGGAGTGTAGTGGCTGCTCCCAGCCACTGCAGCCTCGACCTGCTGGGCTCCGGCAATCCTTCCACCTCAGCCTTCCAAGTAGCTGGAACTACAGGTGCACACTACCATGCCTGGCTAAATTTTTGATTTATTGTAGAGATGAGGTCTTGCCAAGTTGCCCATGCAGGTCTCGAACCCGCAGGCTCAGGCAATCCACTCACCTTGGCCTCCCAAAGTGCTGGGATTACAGGCTGAGCCACCGAGCCCGGCTAACTTTTGTTTTTGATAACAATAGATAGCAACAATAGATAGTGATTTTCAAAATAATTAATAGATAATTGTTCTTACACTTAGGGGGCAATGTAATATCATGAGAATCAGAATGGCTTGAGGGTTTGCTTGTCCTCTTCCCATACAGAAAAAATATAGAAAATAAAGAGGATAACCTGCATAGCATGTTCTCAACTAGACTGGCTCTAAAATGGAACTTATCTGGGAGCTGCAAATCTGGAAACTGTATCTTTTAAGTGACCTGTGCCTGTATACCCCTTGGCATCTCTGTGTATCCCTACAGATAGATATATACCAGTTTAAAGACCATTGGCCTAAGAAGTTCTATATTTCAGAATATAGAAATAAACACTGGTGGGGCAAGGATAAGAATACAAATATCCCGAGATAACTTATTTTTAAAAACAAACTAGAAATATCTTTAGGTGAATGATCAGATTTAAGACAAACAAATTAAGACATCCTTAACTATGAAACAGGGACTCTGAAACAGAAATGGAAAAGCGCCTTCCATTCACCATTGCAAATCAAAATTACAAAGGAATTTAGGAATAAATTTAACATAATGGGCAAAGAAATCATAAAATCTTATTGAAAGACATAAAAAGACTCAATAAATGGAAAGCATTAAATGGGAAAATTATTATACATAACTCAGATTAATTTCTACATGTGAAGTTACTGTAATTAGTATCCAAAAATTACAGAATGAACAGAGTATGCAATAGTATTTTAACTAGAATTATACACTGGGGAGGAAGGATTAACTGGTAAAGTGCTTTTAAAATAAGTGAAAAATTAAGTATTCAGTAAATACAAAAATAGAAATATCACAAGAGAATCAAGAAGACTGTGAATACAATCTTGTTTGAGAGGTAGGAAGACGTTAAACATGACTTAAATATCCAAATCTATAAAAGTTAGATAATACATATTTTTAAATAAAAATCAAAACTTTAATATAGTACAGTTATGAAAAACAAGAGCAGAAGACAAATGATATATGTAAAAAAAAATTGCAACTCAAATTACAAAGCCCTTAATATAAAGAACATTTCTATGAATTGAGAAAGCAACAAATATCTCAACAGAAAAAAATAGAACAATAAAATGAAGAGAATTTCCAGACAAGATTATTATATAAAATATTTAAATTCACTAATAGGAATAAACACAACCCAATTAATAACATGTAACCAGCTATGACTTTCAAACATTTCAAAATGCCTTGACCCTTAATAGTGGTGAGGAAGGTATATGCTGAGGGCTGTTCTGACAGATGTTACAGTGGGGAAATATACATGGTAGAAAATGCATATGGTGGGGAACATATGTGATAGAGAGCATATATGGTAAGAAACATATACCATGGGAAATATTATGGTGGGAATGTTATAATGGGGCATGTATATGGTGAGGAGTACAGATAGGTAGTTTACATGGTGGGGATGTATACGCTGAGACTATATATAATGTGGAATGTATATAGTGGTGAGTGTATATGTTGAGGAATAGAGGTAGATAGTATCCATGGTGGAGGATGTGAGGGTGGGAATGTATATGGTGGGGAGTGTATATGGTGAGGAATATATAGGTAAGCAGGATGCCTGCTGGTAGATGTATATGGTGTGAAGCATATATATGGCGAGGAATATAGGTGAGTAGTATACATGGTGGGAATATAGGTAGATAGTATCTATGGTGGGGAAGTACATGGTGGAAATGTATATGGTGCTCCTGAGAAAGAAGAGAAAGCAATGGGTTTGGAAAACCTATTTGAACGCCGGGTACGGTGGCTCACGTCTCTAAACTCAGCACTTTGAGAAACCAAGGTAAGAGGACTGCCTGAGCCCATGAGTTCGAGACCACCCTCGGCAACTTGGCAAGATCTCATCTCTACAATACATCAAGAAAAATTAACTGGGCATGATGGCGCATGGCTGTAGTTCCAGCTTCTTGGAAGGCTGAGGCAGAAGGATCAGTCTGCACACCACTGCACTCCAGCCTAGGTGACAGAGTGAGACTCCAACTCAAAAAAGAAAAACGAAAAAGAAAACCTATTTGAGAGAACAATGGAGGAAAACTTCCTTGGCCTAGCCAGAGATATAAAAATCCAGTTACAAGAAGCCCAAAGAACCACCAAAGACTCATTGCAAAAAGTTATCATTATGGCATATAATCATCTGATTATGCAAAGTTAATGTGAAGGAAAGAATTTCAAGAGCAGTGAGACAAAAGCATGAAATAACTTACAAAGGTTAATCTATCAGACTAACGGCAAAATTCTCAGAAGAAATCCTACAAGCCAGAAGGGATTGGGGCTCCATCTTCAATCTCCTCAAACAGAACAATAGTCAGTCAAGGATTTGGTGTCCTGCAAAACTAAGTTTCATAAATAAAGAAGAAATAAAGTTCTATGCAGACAAGCAAACATTGAGGGAATTTTTCACCATTAGATCAGCTCTACAAGAAATGCTCAAAGGAATTCTAAATACTGAAACAAATGGTTGAAATACACCAGTATAAAAACAGTGGAAACCATAAAGGTCACAGGCTTTATGGAACACTAACACAATAAAGAAAATAAATAAATGAAGCAACCAGATAACAACCAGTATGATGAATAGAACAGTACCTCACATATTATTATTAACTCTGAACATAAATGGTCTCAATGCCCCACTAAAAATGTACAGACTGGCAGAATGGGTTAAACACACCCCCCCCCCCAAAATATCTGTTGCCTTCAAGAGACTCACTTAACTCACAAAGGCTCCTACAGACTCAAGGTAAAGAAGTGGGAAAAAATATTCCATGCAAATGGAAACCAAAAATGAGCAGATAAAACAGCTTTTAAATTAACAACAGTTAAAAAAAAAACTA